GCAAGATCAATTCAAGAGGTGAAGGAGGTTGCATTACAGGAAAAATTAATTTGATGGGTTGAGCTAGGTTATGATAAAGTGAGATAAGTTTAGGGGGCAAGTGAGGCTATGGTATGACAAGATTGATTCAATGGGTTGGCCGAGGCTATGATATGGCGAGGTCGATATGATGGGTTAATCGAGGCTATTGTATGGTGAGATTGATCCAATGGATTCTATGATATTGTGGCAAGGTGAGATCAACTCAATGGGTTGAGTGGGGTTGCGATAAGGTGATATCAATTTAGGGGGTGAGTGAGGTTATGATATGATGAGATCAATTTGATGGGTTGAGCTTGATTGTGATGTGGTGAGATTGATCTCATAACTAGGCTTTGACTACATTAATAAGCTTTGATCAGTGAGATTTATTGAAATGGAATCTTAGCTTGAGTGGGCCATATGTAGGGGTGCTCATGAAAAATTGAAGAATTGAACAAAAAAATACAATTAACCGAATCGACTAGTATATATATTTATATATAGGGTAAGTTTCTTAAACTACCCTTGGTTTAGCTAATTGACTAAGTGTGCCCTTACTGCTGGAAAATTGACTAACTCTAACCCTACTGTTTCTGACAATTGACTAACTCTACCCTTAGCGTTAAGGTCCGTTAATATTCCGTCAAAACTCATTCATACGTGATATATCTTTTTTTAGAACCCAATTTTACCCCTTTACCCCTTTACCTCTCTCCCCCTCTTTCTCTCTTTCCCCTTCTTTTTCCTATTGGGTTCAGGCACAAAGTAATAGGACATCAGAATCAACTTAAGAAGAAGGGGTTTCACCATGTTCTTCGTCTTGCTAAGGCTATCCGAAGTTCTGAACGCCGATGACCACTACAACATTGTTGAAGCTCTTCATCTTGTAATGACTGCCCAACACCACTACAACTCCTCTCTCCACCCCTCTCTCTCATGTCTGCTGCTAGGGTTAGACCGCCATCGGCTGCCCTTTTCCTCTCGCCGTTAGAAACCCTGTTGCAGCGGCGACGATATTCCTAAGATCATAACGATTCTAATGTTTAGCCGCAGACACAACCAACTTGGGATCTCCACTGTTTCCAACCTACTGCAACTGACTCTACTACCACCTCCAAGCAAGTTTGTGAAGGTCTTTTGTACCTTGTCTTTAGGGTCATTCTTCTTGTTGCCATTGAGTTTCGATTGAGATCGCCATGGTGACAGGGACATGTGCGGAGTAGGGACCATTGGTAAGAGATCGCGGAGCAAGGACATGTGCGGAGCTGTAACTTACCAGCTTCGTTTTTGATATATTTTTTTAAATTTTTTGTCACTATGGAGTTGTAGTAGGAGATCGCCATTAATGGGGTAGTTGGATTTAGACATCTCCAAATGGTTGACCACCATGATGAAGGAGATGATATTTTTGTCGATGGTCTCTAAATACCTGTTGGATTTAGGGATAAACAGAACCTTCCACGGTTCCGTCTCCGAATGGCTGATTGCCATGATGAACAAGAAACCGGAAAGGGGGAGGGGGAGAGGAGAGTCCAGGTTGAGAGAGAGGTTTTCTCAGAACACATAACACAAGTTTTCTATTGCAACTGTTTCATCTCTGAATCTTTCCGTCTCTGAATCGCTTTCACTCTTGTCGTTCTGTTACTGCACAAAGGCAAGCTCTTTTCTTCTCTTGACAGTAGCTGTTATTGGGTGGAATGAGAAACATGCTCTTCTCTGATTACAGAGTCTAGGATTCTTGTCATTTAAAACCAAACTTGTCCCCATAAATGTGGTTAGGGTTTTGATGTGTCATTGTTTCTTTCCCTTTTTTTGTTTTATTTTGAAAATTTGAAGAAGAATAAAGGGTAAAATTGTCTTTTTTGTGTTTATGTTAATGGGCGCTAATGGTAAGGGAAGTATTAGTCAATTGTCAGAAATGGTAGGGGTAGTATTGGTCAATTTTCAAACAGTAAGGGTTGTCAATTAGCTAAACCATAAGGGTAGTTTAAGAAATTTACCCTTATATATTTTTAATATATGTCACATATTATCTATATATTATATATAGATACATATTATATTTATAATACATAATAACTATGTATAGTATATTTATATATTTATTTATAATGATGTTATAGACATAAAAAACCAAAAAAAAAAAAAAAACTAACTAGTTAACCAGTGGTACTAGTTCAATTTTAGTTCAGGGAATTGCAAAAGCTGATAGTACTAGTTTAGTTTCAAAAAATAACATATGGTTTGGTTACCATGAACATCCCTAATTAGGTGAGGGAGTTTGGAGTTGAAATTTGGTGGGCAAGAATTTTTAATGGTAAGATATTAGATTGCTTTGAAATGGCTGAGAAGATGGAAATTCAGAACTTGATTGATTTCGACCAATGAGAGGGGATAAAATGGAATCTTAGCTTGGTTGATGATTAAACAAGTTATTTTAAGGTGAAATTTCATGGGTGGGGTTTTGGGGGTGTTTAGAGTCTAATGGTGCAATTAGATTGGCTATGTGACTTGTCACAGTGTCGATTTTATCAGAGGGTTTTGGCAAAAGGGAAAGCTCATATTTGAATCTTGGCTTTATCAAGGGAGGGAAAAGGTTGTATTGGAATGAAAGACATGGTCTTTATGTGTTGGGGCTATAATGGCAATATTTAGAGGTTTGGTTTTAAGGAGAGGGTCAATGAGGTCTTTAAGTGAACTTTAGAGGTGTGTAAGTAACACTCAAGGAGGTTAAGTTTAGGACTTTTGAATGAGATTCAGCTCAAAGGGTGGCTAAAATTGGGTGCTGAAAATTGCACATTCATAATGGCATCACAACAAGAATCCCGAATGTCATGATCAAAGTCCTTGAGCTTCCTTACAATGTGACAATAATTTCGGTGAGATGGTCATTGTGCAATTGACATGAGATGTGCACAGGAAAGCAATGAGGTGTAGTACTTCCTTACTTTCCAGTCATTTAAGGCATTGTAGAGGCAAATGAGTAGCATGGATATATTGCCATGAGAAAGGGTTTGGATAATTTTTTGTAGCTCTTTGAAACAATCTATTAGGTATCTCAACTAGAGAGCTTAGAAAGGGAGTTAAGGATTTGCTGCTTGGGCTCAATCATGGAGAGGCATGAAAAAAGAGAAAGTGGATGACCTTGTAGTTGATGAAGTTATAATGGATGATGCTAATGTCATCACTGGTTTGGAGGTTTTGAGGATTTTGCGGTTTAGAAGTTTGTGAATTGATTGTTTTTTGAGAGAGATTCAGCCATTTACATGTTCAAACTAATGGAGAAACAAAACAGTATTATCGTGTTTGTTTTGTAAAATACAGGCAAAAAAATTGTATTTTTTAGGTCCTATTCAACCCGGATAAAAAAGTTGCGTCGAGGGTCAATCCAATCCATTACATACACTTACCAGCTGTTTAGATTGAATCATAGTCCACCCATATGATTGATCCACCAGAGGTTGATCTAGACCAAATTCAAAAATTAATTATATTAAATAAAGTAAATTGAATTTATGAATAAAATTAATAACTAATAAAAACAATAAACACAAAAAACATTTAATCCAAATTAATAAAAACTATTAATAAGCCCATCTAACAATAAATAATAAAAATAATATTAATAATTCATAAAAATTTGTAAAAAATCAATATATTCATTTATGAATAATAAATATTAGTAAAAACAAAAACTTATTTTACTAAGAATTTTAATAAATTAAAAAAAATATAATTAAAGTTAAAAGATATTTCATTAATGAAATAAAAGATAATACAATAAAAATAAATTTGAGTCAAATTAAAATCTAATTGAATTATTAATAGTAAGTTAACTATTATATTATTGTTAAATAACAATAAATTGATATTTTTTTTTTAGTTTCCAGCTCTCATGTGACCCATTATTTGATATGTTGATTTTTAACATCTCTTGATACAACCACAGAACTGAGTAATCTTGATACAACTTGTTCCTCTAACAATAATAAAATTTAAAATTAAGAAAAAGGTGAGTAAAATTAAAATAAAATAATATAAATTTTTTAGTTTTAAACTTTGTTTTCATTAATTTAAATTTCATTTAAGAGTTGGTAAAATTAAACACTAGTAAACTTATAATTGGATTGGATACAAATCGATCTGCTCTAACCTGAGTTTTTGCACATGTTGTGCCTAAGTTTCAAGTTGTAGGCTAGGTATGGACTAGAAAGCTGGTCTTGATGTAAATTTTGGTTGTTGAGGCGATAAACCCATTCAAGTTTGCTTGAACAAATATGTACATACATGCATTATATTTATATAAGAATATCTTCTTTAAAATTACGTACGTATATGGGATTGATAATTTTCAGCTCGGTTCACCTTGGTCTAAAATTCTAGGACCGCTTAGCCTCAGTCTGAACTTATATTTTAGGCCCTGGACTTAGGCCGGGCCGAAGCCTAAACTATAGCCCTTATGACAAGTGCAAAATTGAGCTTGACCCATGATCACCTTTTGAATTAATTGCACTTTTAAATTGGCCCACGAAGCCTAATAAAAGATGGTTATATAAAATTATATTCATAAATCTTTTTAGACCCAACCAATCCAAAGCCTGGCTCTACCCAACCCAAGCCCGAGCCCGAGCCTAAACCTGGATTTGACCATGGATGGGACCAAAACTTGTGGTTTGCATGCTTAGGATTGGCCAAATTTACCTTCAAAATTCAAATCGACCAAACTGATCTGAATTTCAGAATCAGTTTTCTTTCGTACATCGCACGGGCCCCGCCATGTATATACATATATATATCGCAAAACAACGGGTCAGGTGATAAATGGACCGGAAAGGTATTGATTTATCAGTTGAACGATTCGACCGTCCGACTCAACGACGTTTTGGAAAAAAGGAAAAACCGGAAAAAAGCCGAAATTACATCGTTGATTGGATAGTGATTTTCATCTGGTTCAAACCGGTTCCGGCGTTGTGTCAGTGTGTCTAAAGGCAGACGCCAGACTCGCCCTCTTCGGCTTGTCTCGCTCGCCTTACAAAAGGCCTTGGCAGCCTTCTCTTTCTCTCTAGATTCTTTGTCTCCTCCTCAGCAGGTCTCCTTCTGAAACCTCAGATAGCTAAAGCTGCAATCCTGCTAAACATGGCGGCACCTGCTCAGTGGCAGCCCAACGAGGATGGCCTGAGAGAGATCTGCCGCTTACTGGAACAGCAAATTTCTCCTACTCCTGATCATCCTCAGATTTGGCAGCAGCTCCAGCATTATAGCCAGTTCCCCGATTTCAATAACTATCTCGCTTTCATCTTTGCTCATGCTGAGGTGCTCCGATTATTTGATTATCATCGGAAAATAATAGGGCTTCATTTCATTGGACAGGAGTTGAGCTTGTTTTGACTGGTGTTACATGCCATTATTTTATTTTATTCTATTTTTATGCCTGAGTTTGGATAGGATTTACAAGCATAGAGTGTTTATTTTGTCGGCAAAAACCGCGAAATTGAAAATTAGGGGCATTGGTAATCGTTGATTGGATGGTTTTCATTAGTAAATTGTCCTTCTGTTTGGATTGGAATTAGAAATGACATTTATCTGATTGTTGCGTGCTTTGTTCTTGAAAATGAGGCTATTTGCATGCTTCCGTAGCCTTAGCTTTTAGTTGTTTCTTTTTTCGCAAAACCCTTATGGTCGAGATGTAGAAGTAAGAAATGGAAGATATATTAAAGGTGTATACGGGTGACTGGTTGGAAATGGATACCTCCTATCGGCTCCATACTAAACTGTGTGTTCGTATGCATTTCCTTGTGTCTAGGTTGTGAACAGAGCCATCATCCCTCTAGTCATGGAGTTATATCATTTCTCCTTTGCAGATTAGTAGTAATGAAGTTCACTCTATCACATTTTGATCTCAACCTGAGTTTGGTTCTCCATATATATTAACTTCTGTTTGATATTTTGCAATATTGTTAATTTTTGTGTTTTTGATTATTCTATTATATATATATATATATATAAACAGTTCAGAATGTGTTCATGGTTGATCCTCAACTTTCTTTATTGTAAACATCATTTGTATTTTTCAATTATGGATTCCATATTTCAGTATTTCCAATAAGTGTGCATCTTGAGTTAGCTTGACATGTACTGGTTCTCTTGCATTGGAATGCCTGCTTGTAACTTTCACATTTGATTTAACCTTTTTTTCTTGTCTATTGTAGAATTGTTTTTTTTTTCTTTAGATATGTAATTTTATTATTCATGCAAAAAATAATACATTTTGCGAAAGAAAGTTACTATTTACTATTGAAGGTATCATATGAGCCTTCTGTACATCGTCTTTTTTCATGTTTTTTTTTTTTTTTTTTTTTTTGTTTTGCTTTTGCTTTTGAAGATTTAACTTTACCTCTGAAACAGGGTACACCAGTGGAAATTCGACAAGCAGCTGGATTGCTTTTAAAAAATAATTTGAGAACCGCTTTCAAATCCATGGAACCTTTATACCAGCAATACATAAAATCTGAATTGTTACCTTGCTTAGGAGCAGCAGATAGGCATATCAGATCTACAGTTGGAACAATTATAAGTGTTGTTGTTCAACAAGGGCGGGTCGTTGGTTGGCCAGAGCTGTTGCAAGCACTCCTACATTGCTTAGAGAGCAATGACTTAAATCACATGGAAGGTGCTATGGATGCTTTATCCAAGGTAATGTTCTAGCTTCAAGGTCTCTAATACAAACAACTTTTAACAGTGATGGCTTAAATTAAGTACAAGTCATTGGAAGTGCTTTGTACATCTCCTTGGCTCCTGGCATAAAGTGTCTGCATATTTGTAAATATTTAACATGTACATGGACATCCATTTCTGGGCCAACATACATAGGATGTCAGAAATAAGCTCTCTCGGAGTTTGGTAGAATGGAGACATTTTTGCAACTGCATTTCAAATGTCAATCATGTTGCAGGAGTGGCACTTTGATATTAGGATGTAGCATGCAAAATTGGTCTGAGCAAAAGAATGGATACTGGTGGTTCTAGTTCAATACTACCACTAGTACTACTATGCTCATTTTTTTCTCTTCTTTTTAAGGAGAATTTTAGATTCTTTGGTTGCTTTGCGTTTCATATTTTACCATATTTTATATAGAAACAACATTTATTTCAAAATTCTAACCAATTAACCATGTCTTACACAGATTTGTGAAGACATCCCACAAGAGCTTGATTCGGATGTACCTGGATTACCTGAACGCCCTATCAACATATTGTTGCCAAGATTATTCCAGGTAACAATTTCCTTTGATTTTGAATGCCATGATAACATGGTGTCTTTTCTATATGCAATTTCCTTTGATTTTAAAGTTGAATGGTAGGTGTACAGTGTGCTGTCCTATAGCTTGTACTGACTTTTTTGTTTTGTTTGACTGATACAGTTTTTCCAATCTCCTCATACCTCACTCAGGAAGCTTTCCTTAGGTTCTGTTAATCAGTTCCTTATGTTGATGCCCAAGGTATATCTGATATTCTGCTCTTTCCCTTTACATTGATTTGATGGAACTGTTACCACAAATGGAAATGTTCACTATTGTTTGTTATTCTGCCCCAGGGTTTATCTCAATCCGTGGATCAATACCTCCAGGGTTTGTTTGTTCTTGCCCTCGATCCTGCTGCTGATGTGCGAAAATTGGTGAGTATATCTGATGTATATTTTATCCAGCAAAGAATGAGCAAGAAATTAGAAAGAAAGAGACCTGTTGCTGTTGTATTAAATAAAGAGATAGATCACTTGAAAGAAGAAATAGGTAAGAGAGAGGAGAAAAAAGATAAAATGTCATGGCAACACTAGAATTCACTAAAGCAAAATTTATTTCATCAAATCAACTATTTTTTTTTTTTTTGCAATTTGGACTCAGAAAATTGGGTGACTCTCTTTATAAACTTAACAGAAGAACCTAGATTTATTTATTTATTTTTTTGATAATTAACATTAGAACCTAGATGTCCCTTTGCAGACTCCAATTTGGGCTCAAAACTGACTCAGAACAACTTTTAGCTGCCTTAGAACTAAGACAGATCCACAAATAACTCATAGGAACACTCAAATGAGGAAATCTAACTCCTAAAACAAATTAATAATATTTTACTGATCCTACTAAAACTAGTAATCAGACTTTATTAAAAATAGTAAATAGTGATTTTATTATAAATAGTAATTATGATGATAAGTACTCTAAGTAGAAAGTCCAAAAGTTTACATAAATAGCAATCATGATGTTTTTTTTTTTTAAATAAAAACAGTGAATTTCTAGAAGATTGTGGCACCAACAAGCTATAAAAGAAATTTGAAAAACTCAAGAGTACCAATATCCTTATCACTCTATAATTTTTAAAATGGTGTACGAATTGGGAAACTAATATATTTTTCCACTGATTCTTTCCTCGTTTCCATATCTGCACCAATTTCTCAATCCCATTCTATACATAGGAATAATACAAGATTGTGGTGGCTACTGCAATCCCTGGTAATGGGGGGCCAATGAAGGAAAAGGTGTTCAGCTGTTTCCACCTCCAGGTTGCACAGGGAGCAGTTTGTGGAGGCTACTGCAATCCCTATTCTAGATAGCTTGTCTTTAGTTAGGCACTTTCCTAGAGCCACAGTTCAGACTAAAAAAACTGACATTGGAGTTTGCCCAGACAGATTGAAAGGGGAAGCTGTTTCTGTTAAGGCAGGAGTGAAGAATCATGGACTTGACTGTGAACTTGCCATGGTGTTCCCATTTCCAGATTCTTCAATCTTCTAAATTCTAATGTGGCAATTGGGAGGATGTTCTGAATCTGATTGAGCAACTGTTCAAGCTGGTAAATCTCCTAGTCAAAGAAATTTCTTCTAAAGGTGGGAGCCTAGATTCTAGAGGTCCCAGAGACAGAAAAGAATTCTGGAGCCTAGCTTGAAAGGTTTATTGCCCCACCAAGAGTCAATCCAAAACCTCAAATGGCTTCCATTACTTAGCTTGAAAGCTGTTCCTTCGAGGAAGAAAGGCTGAATCTTGTGGATTTCCTTCCTCACCGATCTGCTGGATGTTTTGGGGAGCTGTTTTGTTTCCCAACCCCTGATAGTGAACCCATATTTTTCAGGATCATCTGCCTCCACCAACTTTCTTTTTCTTCATTAAACATCCAGTGCCATTTGCTTAAGACACTAGTATCTGCTCTGCCTCTTTGGTTCTGTAAAGGACCAAGGCCCCCAACTGTTTAGGAGTGCGTATCTTTGCCCAATCAACTAGGTGAATTTTCTTTTCCTCCTTCCAGCCTTTTCTAGAAGAAATCCCTTTGAAGTTTCTCCAGATTTGTGGCCACTTTAGTTGGGATGCTGAAGAGAGAAAGGTAGTGACAAGGGAGGCTAGTAAGTGTAGACTTGATGCAGGTTAACTTGCCACCTTTTGAAACCATCTTAAGATGCCCCAAAGGTTTTGTAGCTAAGGGATGAAGGCATCTGGGAAGAAAAGGGTATCGTTTGCAAATTGGAGAAGGCAGGCGGTTGCTTGCTATTTCCCATGGCAAACCCTGATAAGAAACCTCCTTCCATAGCATTATTACAAAGAGCTGCAAGCACTTCTGTGATGCATATGAAGACAAGGGGGGGGAGTCGGTCTCCTTGCCTTAACCTTCTTGAACTTTTAAAGAAACCAGCTGTAGAGCCGTGATCAGAATAGAAAACTTGGGGGTAGTGGTGCAAGCTTTAATCCTACTTTGCTATCTGTTGCCAAAGCTCATTTTAGCAGGAAGCCTAGCTACAAAGATCAAATGCCTTCTTTAGATCAAGCTTAAGAGGACCCCCAGTTTTGCTCGATTCCAGTCTTGTGTCTATGAGTTTGCTAGCTATCAGCAACCATCTAACATTCATGTTCCTGGCACAAAAGCTCCTTGGGATTTAGAAATGATACTAGGAAGAACCTGCTTGAGCCTTGTATAAAGTAACTTATCTAGGATCTTGTAGAAACTTCCAACAAGACTGATGGGCCTGAAGTCCTTGATGTCCACAACCCCCTCCCTTTATGTTTATGATTGAAAAAAAAGGCCTAAAATAGAATTGAAGTTTTAGTTAATGCATGAGTCTGTTTCTTTTCTCAAAAGAAAAAAAAGAAGAAATGCATTAGAAACTTGTTCACAGTTTTAGGAAAAAAATTAAGTAAAAGAAAAATAAAGAGACTATTACGATTGCTTTTAGTTATAATTCTTCAGGTATTGTTTTATATATAGTCTACCCTACCATGGTAGATTGTCACTGTTGGGTTGTGATGTATTTGTCTGGAGAAGTCAGAAATGGCTGCTTCTGCTCTCCTTGTGCAGAGAAATTCTTTCAGTATTTGTAAAAGTATTCTGATCTCTTAACAAGAGAAAAGTATTTCTGATTTTATTTTTTCCTTTTCATTTTTAGAATTATGGATATACATATATAAAATAATTGGAACATGTAGAGGCTTTATCTTTTGTTCTATGTTTTAATGGTTTTTGCCAGCATCCAACTTTTTGTTAATTTAGGACTTTACAATGGTATGATTGCTTTCTTGTTTTTATGTAAGAATTGATTTCTGTGGCATGTGGGTGCTAAAGTGCTATTATTTTTCTTTTTTATACTGCATAGGTTTGTGCTGCTTTTGTTCAGCTAATTGAAGTTAGCCCATCTTTCTTAGAGGTATGTATCATGTTTCTATTCCATATAAACTTGATTCTATTGTTATTATTATTATTATTATTATTATTATTTGTGTGTGTGTATTGTTAGTGGCACATTTTGTTCATAGATATATGAGTTATAATATTGTTAGTGTTATTTTTGTTTATAGATAACCAAATATATTAAAAGGAAACAGAAAATCTATACTACTATAAAAGGTACGAGTAGCCTCTAAAATTTCTGGAATTTTTCTTTACTAAAATACCCCTTTTTTTGAAATATGGTCCCTTTATTGTGAGGGTAAAAAAAGTAAATTGAATACTATTATTCAATGCATTCAATTCCCTCATTAAATCCCACATTTAAGGTATTAACTCCCATTCACCCTCATTGAATCATATATGTAAAGCATTTTTATTTATTCTCATCACTAAATTCCACTAATTAAATCCATACATAATAAATTAATAATTCCAATAAAATAAAAAACTTATACTTTTAAAATCTATATAGAAAAGAATAATGTTTTCATCTAGGTGGTGGTAAGAAACTAAACCATTTTGGGTCAAATGGGCCAACTCATGTTGCCACAATTAAATAATAAAAAATTAAAAAATAGATAAAAATTAAAAAAACATAGAAATTAAAGAAAAATTTAGGAACATTTTTAATATCATATATTCAACATATTAAACAATAATAATTATGATAAATAAGAAGTATTTTTATTAATTATGGAGATGGAATATAAAATTTAAAACCAATTAGAAATAAAACAGTTTTCCTATTCTCTTCTTTCTCATTAAATCTCATATCTAAGTTATATTCTCATTAAATCCTATATTTGAGATATATTTTTTTCATCATTAAATTCTACTAGTTAAATCCACAACATTAATTTTAATAGTATAAAAATAAATATTTTGAAAAGTAATTTGAAAACAAAACCATTTTCTTCCCTCTTGGTGGTGGGTTAGCAATTCAACAATTTAGGGTTGAAAGTATAGCAAGGGAGCTGAATGTTGTCTTTAAATGGATCAGAAGAACAACAAATAGGATGGCAGATGCTTTGGCTAAACAAGGGCTATTAGGCACCAATTGTTTTGGGGCAAAGCTATAAAATTGTTGTTTGGGGTAGAGAACCTTCCCACCTTGGTGTAATATTCAAGTTTGAATTTAATAAAATCTTCTTTTATTGATAAAAAATAGTCTCACATGGTGAGGTGAGTGAGGAACATGTAAGGAAGAGGCTTTGTATGGATTAATGTTTTTGGGATACTGCTGCATGCATCGTGTGTCCAGACCTTTAAAGCCATTGGTGAAGCCTGTGTGAATGTTTGCAAGAATTCCGGTGGTGACAGAGAATGTGAAAACTATACCTGTGAATCTGGATTTGTTCTTTGGCGGAAAAGTGTATGAAGCAAGAATAGTAATTGAAGGGGAGGATCCAGCGTGTGGTATGTGCAGGGGTAAGGCTGCATTGGTTGGAGCCTTGTGCGTTAGGCTGCCCTTAAGCAGATGATGTCACAACTACCAAAAATTAAGAAGAGATTTAGTAGTTGAAAGAATTTCTGGCTTCACAATTCGAAGTGAAGGATCATGACCCTCTTAGGTACTTCCTTGGTATAGAAGTAGCTCTATCTGATAAGGGAATTTTTATCTCCCAAAGGAAGTACATTCTTGATTTACTGAGAGATACAAGAAAACTGGGGTGTAAACTGGTAGAGACTCCTATGGATCTTAATTTTTTGACCAATAACGGTGAAATTTCATTAAAATTCAATAAAGAGTACAGGCAATCCAAAGGGAGATAAACTCTTTTAACTCCCCCAATACTTTTTACATATTTTAGCTGAGTTCAAAATAAGTTATCTCTACCTGCCCTTTGTTTTGCTAGAACATCAGCAAAGTAATGGGCACTTCTCTTAACCTAAGTCAATCTTACTTCAATGTCCCTCCCGTGGTAGAATCTTGAACTTCTTTCTTTCATTGCTGTGTCTCCAAAGATTGTTATCCTCCTTTTTAAACCAGCCCACCACTATTTTGGAATCACCTTCAATGATCAACTTGCTAATATTCAGTTCCCTCGCCCTCTCCAAAGATTGATTTTAATCACAAGCTTGGAAACTTTGAGGGTAAGATTCTTTTAGATGTTTTGTAGTATATCACTATCAGAGACTCATTGGAAGGCTTCTGTATCTCTCTATGACCCAGCCAGACATAGCGTTTGCAGTGAGTGTAAGTCAGTTTATGCATTCACCTAAAACTTCTCATTTTAAGGTTGTAGATAGAGTTCTTGCAATCTGAAGAGACACTTTGGTAGGGGCCTTCTCTTCGCCAAACAAGGCCATACTAGAGTGGCCTCTTGAGGATTGGAGGTCCACTGGTTATTTTACTTTTGTGGGGGGCGATCTGGCGGCCACTTGGAAGAGTAAGAAGTAGACTGTGGTAGCAAAGTCAAATGTAGAAGCCAGACTATAGGACCATGTCTCAAGAAGTAGCTGAACTCTTGTGGTTGAAGAATCTTCTTACAGAGGTATGTGGAATTTAGATCCAATGTTTTGTATTGTGACAAGGTGGCCATCAGTATTGCTTACAATCCAGTTCTTAATTAGCAGACTAAACACATTCAAGTCAACAAACATTTTATCCATGAAAAGGTTGAAAGGGGTGAAATATGTATACCGTTTGTTGAGTCAAAAGACAGTGGCTGATGTTTATACAAAAGGTGTGCCCACCTTGCATAATGAAGAACTATGTAACAAGTTGGGTATGCATGATATTTAATTATTTACAACCCAGCTTAAGGGGGAGTGCTGTGAGGGGTGTTTCTGTAAGGTATTATTGAGACAGGGGTTTTCCTGCAATTTCTTTTGTTTCAGTGACCACTCTGTAATTATATAATTCCAATATATAATAGGGTAAAATGGGCACTGCCACTGACCTGAGATATTCTTTCTGTTCCGTTCTGACTTCTGTCTTCTCTAGATTTTTTTTTGACAGATTACATGAATCATTAGACAAATGGATAATAAAACTGATCTTGTTTGCTTGTTTAAGTTTAAGTTTGAGTTAGATATTACATATTTTATTTTTTATTTTCTGTTTGATATTCCGTGTTGTGGTCCTTAGTATGGTATTTACAATATTGTTGCAGCCTCATTTAAGAAATGTAATTGAGTATATGTTGCAAGCCAACAAGGATGCTGATGATGAAGTTGCTCTTGAAGCTTGTGAATTTTGGTATTTCTCTATCTTGCTTTTAGTCTGGAAAAGATATTCTGGATGTTTATCATTATTTTGTATGCTCTATATAGGGAAGATTTTATGCTTGAGGTGACAGTTGGATGGTTTTCAGACAACCTAATTCCTATTATTTTTTTAATATATACTTTCTCTTTCAATGAAAAAAAATTTAATATGGTTTTCTATGTTACGTTTGAAAAGAATATACTTCTCTGATGTTGCCTTCATTTGACAGTGTTATATTAGTAATGATAAAATCAAAGATATAATGCTTTTTTTTGATAGAAAAGATAAAGGGAAAAAAAATACTTGAACCTCCCCCTAAGGCATCTGACAATTACTTGAGTTATACCCTAAGTTTTCTGAATTTGGGCATCCCCTATTGGGTGATGTCATAGGACAAAAACCATCGTTCTATCAATTGTCCATCACTTGCTATTGATATGTGATAGCATTTAACTTGGGCATCCCCTAAGTTTCTATTGAATTGACTTGGGCATCCCCTAAGTTTTCGTCCAACTAATTCTTCATAGGCAACACATCCTTGAATGAATGGATGGCACATCCAGGTTACCGCCCTTCATGGGAACAATTTATTTCCTAAATTCACACTATTTGGAAATGAGGGTCATGGTCATGGTGATTTAAAAGCAGTGCATATGTTTTATAGCTCTGAAAGTATCCTGATTGAATTATTGAATACACTTGTAGCACTATACATGGCTTCAAAGTCATACATTGATTACTATCGAAGAAAAACCATCACATCCTTAATATATGAGGACATCTGAAAGTATTCCTTTTAACTGGTGCACTAGATCATCAAGAAAGAAGGCATTCAATTGATTAGTCGTGCTTCAACATTAATTGTTGTTACCATCGGATACAAATAGGAGTTGTAGAGGATATTTTTACTATCTTGGATATTCATTGGACTGTTCTACAGTTTCTACTATCATCAATTCTCCAACTAAACTTCGTGGCTGCTGTGCACAAGCTGCTGGGACTCTATTGGTTGTCTCATTCTTGGTTTTGTTAACTATTTAGGTACCAATGACTTGTAGCAGAAGTTTGATAGTCGGGCAGGATTTCTTATTTGCTATTTACACCAATATGGGTAAATAGCTAAAGTGTCAGCCATTCCATTTGCTGACCTTCTTACCCATTTAAAATGCACCCCAATCTGCCTTGCTAAGCTATTAATCTCTCTTAGAGGCTGTCTAAGTGACCATACTCCCAAGTTTCCAGATTGCATCAACCCTATTACCATCTTGGAGTCTCCTTCGACTTCTAAGTGTTGCATTTCCCATTATTTCGCCAATCTCAGGCCTTGGAGCAAGGCCATGACTTCTGCCCTTAAGGAGTCTCCTATCCAAATCAGGCCCAAGTAAAGGGCCAAAACTTTTCCTTCCTCATTTCTGAAAACACCCCCAATTCCCGACTGACATGGATTACCCAAGGAGCTTCCATCAAAGTTTAACTTCACCATGAACTAAGGCGGTGGTAACCAACTTTCTTGAACCATAGGGGAGGAGGGAGAGGATACATCTATAGGCCTATAGCACTCCAATTTCTAATTAAGTCAGCTGAGAAGTCCTTGAAGAGGTATTACACTTTCAGCCAATGCATAACCTTGATGGTGATAACCTCAAGAAGTTCTTCCTTGGATTTTTCTTGCCCTTGGAAGATCCTATTGTTTTTCTCTTCCCAAATTGACCAAAGGATGGCTGCTCTTGTTATTTTCCACATTACCTTGCCTCTTTTCTTTGGTTTCCCGAGGGGGATTACAATTGCAACCAAAAAGAGAAGAGAACCAATCTCACAAAAAAAAAGCAAAAGGACAAGAAATCAAAAGATGAATTGCTGTCTCACCATTTCTTAAGCAAAGGCAACAGACATGTGGGGAAAGTCACCAATCTGACCTTTTTCTTTGAAGTACATCCATAGTATTGATCTTTTGGAGAGCCACTTCCCAGCAAAAAGCCCTAACCTTTGGTGGCATAGGAGCACACTTCTTTAGCAGGAAAGTTATGAGAGAAGTCTGGTGCCTTGCCAAGGGAAATTGGAGCAAACTTCCAATGGGTTAGAAGAACAACAAATGGGATGGCTGATACTCTAGCTAAACAAGGATCAAATAGAAGTGAACTTTTTTGGGCTGCTTTGTAGCAGTGGTTATGAATGTGGGTCAACATTTCAGCTTTGGAATGTTGGAGTTGTAATTATCTTGTTTAACTTCTTAATTTCTTAACGAAAGTTACCGTTTCCTATCAAAAAAAGGGGAGAAATGAGAAGCCCTAGGGTTGACGCCAGCATCCCATCCATTAGCTGCCATCCCATGAATACTTTCCACCACCAAGTGCCACAAACTATCCTGCTCTAAAGGAAACCTCCACAACCACTTTCCTAACAATGCTACATTCCTTAATCTGATATTGCCAATGTCTAGGAGCCCCGACTTCCTTTTTCCTAGAATTTGCTTCTCACTTCACTAGATGGTCCTTTTTTTGAGTCACCCGGTTCCCACAGGAAATCTCTCATGAGCTTCTCCAACTTGTTGGCAACCTTGACAGGTAGCTTAAAGGTAGACAAAAAATACATTGGAAGGTTGGCCAAAGTGGACTTGATTAAAGTGATTCTACCCCCTAGTGAGATATAATTTTTCTTCCACCCTGCTAGCTTCTTAGTGAGCCCAAGGTAGCCAATGGAAGGGTGGAGCAAGAGAGGGGAAGCAAGAAGCACAGAGAGGACAGAGGTGAACAGATTGATAAGGGAGATGAAAAAGGGGACTCCCTAGCTGAATTTGTAGAAAAGTTAGGGTGCAAGGTTAAAAATTTGAATGAGCTGAAAGGGTATTTGAAGATTAAAAAGAAGATGGGAAAAGGAGGAAAAGAAGGCTAAGTGAAGTTGAGAGATTGAAGTTGGACGTGGACGCGGACAAAGAATTTAGTGAAAGGAAGGGTAGGGGAAGAAAAGGAGGATCTTAGGATAGAAGGTTTAGGGGTGGGGCAGATTATGTTGGAGTAATGAAGATCGTAAGTTGGAATATGAGAGGTTTGGGGAATGCAAGAAAGAGAGATTTAATAAAGGAAGTCCTAAGGAAAGAAAACCCAGACATTTTTCTAATCCAGGAATCTAAACTCATGACCTTTGATAAAAGGTGGGCCAGAAGTGTGTGGAGAGCAAATGGCCTGAGTTGAGCAATGAGGTCCCTCTTGGGGTTCATCTAGAGTGTTAGTTACCTTGTGGAAGGATGAAGTAGTGGAGGGAGTGGAAGAATTAATTGGAAGATTCTCAGTCTCTCTTATATTCAAGCAAGTGATATATGGGTTTGAATGGGTCTTGAGGAGTGCAATAAGGTGAGACAAAGGAGTACTACCAGCATGAGGAAGTTAAATGAATTTATTAATGCCTTTGAACTCAAGGAACTGAACCTCTCACATAATAGCTTTACCTGGTCTAATCTCCAAGCTGAACCTATTTGCTCCAAACTAGACAGATTCCTATTTACCACAGATTGGGAAGAGCATTGGGGAGAACTGGTGTCAAGGGCCTTATCGAGAGTTACTTACGATCATTGGCCAGTTCTGCTATGCAAGTCTGAATTTGGAAATAGTGGACCTTCCCCGTTTAGATTTTGAGGATATGTGGCTGCTTCACCTGGATTTTAAAGAGAAAGTGAAAAAAATGGTGGAACGAAAGTAACCCGAGGGTAAATTGGGCAGGGATGAAATTCCACTGGAAGCTAAAAGGGCTGAAAGTCAAAATCAAGGAGTGGAATGTTCTTCACTTTGGGAGGTTAGAAGAAAGAAAGCAATAATTGATAATCCAGATTGAGGAATTAGATGCAAAGGAAGAAATAGGATGTTTTGGGGAAATAGACAAAGAGTTGAGGAAAAATTTGGAGGACACAATTTTCAAAGAATAAATTAGTTGGAGGCAAAAATCTAGACATAAATGGGTGAAGGAAGGAGATAGGAATACAAAATTTTTCCATGCTATAGCTAATGGCAGAAGAAAGAAAAAACAGGCCTTTGAACGAGAGATTAAGGATTGAAGGATTGGTTTGGCCCAGGCTCCCTGAAGAGTTGATTGAGTGGTTGGAAAGAGAGTTTGAATTGGAAGAAATAAGGGATGCCATCTTTTTTATGGATAGATCTAAAGCCCCGAGCCCTGATGGTTTCACGATGGCTTTTTATCAAGACTGCTGGGAGATAATTAAGGCTGACACAAAGTGTTTTCTCAGAATTCTTTGAAAGAGGAGTGATAAACCCAGGCCTGAACTCTACCTTCATTGCCTTAATTCCAAAAAAGGAGGGAGCTTGCCACCCTAAAGACTTTAGACCCATCAGTTTGGTTAATAGCCTCTATAAGATCATTGCTAAGGTGTTATCCAGAAAAATTAGAGAGGTGCTTCCCACAATCATATCCCCTAATCAAGGTGCCTTTGTGAAGAATAGACAAATTGTGGACCAAATCTTAATAGCAAATGAGAGTGTGGAAGATTATAAAAGAAGAGGAAAGAAAGGGCTGGTGTGCAAATTGGATCTGGAAAAGGCCTATGATTTGGTTGATTGGTCCCTGTTGCTAGAAGTTTTAGAGTCCTTTGGTTTTGGGCAGAGGTGGTCCAAGTGGATAAAATGGTGTATCAGAACATGCCACTATTCTATACTAGTAAATGGCAAGATGGTAGATCATTTTCCAGCCATTAGGGGTATTAGGCAAGGGGACCCTCTTTCCCCCTTCCTTTTTACCCTGATTGCTGAAGTTTTAGGGAGGCTTATTGAGAGGATAGATTCTAGAAGCTTGATAAGTGGTTGGAAAGTTGGGAGGGATAGGGTCCCAGTCACTCATTTACAATTTAGGGATGACACAATTCTGTTTTGTGGTGGGGATGAGATTAGGTGGGTTAGTAATTTAAAGTTGGTGATTAATGTGTTTGAACAAGTGACTAACCTCAAAGTAAACCTTGATAAGAGTTGTGTGATTGGCATTAATAT